TTTGTGTGATGGTTTATGCTAACCAGCTGATGTTATTTGTGCTGGTTTATGCTAACCAGCTGAAGTTGTGTGATGGTTTATGCTAACCAGCTGAAGTTGTGTGATGGTTTATGCTAACCAGCTGAAGTTATGTGTTGGTTTATGCTAACCAGCTGAAGTTGTTTGATGGTTTATGCTAACCAGCTGAAGTTATGTGTTGGTTTATGCTAACCAGCTGAAGTTATTTGTGCTGGTTTATGCTAACCAGCTGAAGTTGTGTGATGGTTTATGCTAACCAGCTGAAGTTGTGTGATGGTTTATGCTAACCAGCTGAAGTTGTGCTGGTTTATGATAACCAGCTAATACCTAAGCTAACACAGACAGGAGTGAATGGCATGAACAAACAGTGAAGTCCTCAGTGTTGTTGACTTCATACAGCCTCGGCTAACGGTGTCATCTTACTGTAATATTTTTATTATTAACTCCGCTAGCTGAGCTAACATACCTAAAGCAGGAAACTGTCAGAAGGCGGCCTTCCTGGTGATTTTGTCCTAACATTTATTACATAAACCCAACATTATAGACACAACAGGACGTTTTTATTGAGAGAAGCTATATAAAAAAATGTTTTTGTCTTCAGTGCCGGTGGGATTAAAGAGGACAAAAAGACGGAACGGTGCTTCCGGTACTCACCGCGAAAACAGCTTCAGTCCAGTAAATCTGATGGGTCGGAACCGATGGTTTAAATTATGAAAGAAAACCATGAAGGGAGTGAGAAGGAGGACAAAAGACAACAACACCGAGACAAACATTGAACCATTTTCACAGTGGCCGACTCCTCAGTAAGGAAAGAATCTATTGGCTGTCTGTTAATGACATCATTACCTCATTTACATCATTGGATGGACGAATAATAAAAGGAGTAAAAAAAAAAAACGGTTTAGAACAAACTTAAACATTTCTGCCAATTATTTTTATGTCTGTCACATAACCAGCTCTCCTTTTTCACCAGTAAAGCGACACTCAAAGTTATTTTAGTTATTTTAGTGCAGTCTATAGAAATGTTTACATCCAACAGTTCAGTGGCAGAAGAAGCAGGAAGAATTCTAAGTCAAGTCAACTTTATATATAGGACATTTAAAAATGGACATTTAAAAATGGACATTTAAAAATGGACATTTAAAAATGGACATTTAAAATGGACATTTAAAAATGGACATTTAAAAATGGACATTTAAAATAGGACATTTAAAAATGGACATTTAAAAATGGACATTTAAAACAACCGCTGCTGGTGTTGCTTCACATATTACAACTAATAGTAAGACAAAAAAACAGGAGAATAGAAAATATAAAGAAAAATCTATAAAAGTGGAAATAGTCAACTCTCATGCTGAATTAAAAGCTTTGGAAAATAAATGTTTTAAGATGAGATTTAAAAACATCAGAAGCCTGTCTGATGTGAAGGGGCAGCTGGTTTCACAGTTTAGTCACATCTTAAAAGACCTCTGTGGACCAGTCTGGACCTCAGCACAACTAAAGACCTGATCACCTCTGTGGACCAGTCTGGACCTCAGCACAACTAAAGACCTGATCACCTCTGTGGACCAGTCTGGACCTCAGGACAACAAAAGACCTGATCACCTCTGTGGACCAGCCTGGACCTCAGGACAACAAAAGACCTGATCACCTCTGTGGACCAGCCTGGACCTCAGGACAACAAAAGACCTGATCACCTCTGTGGACCAGCCTGGACCTTCCATACTTTCCTCAGA